CCCCAAAACCCCAAAACCCCAAAACCCCAAAACCCCAAAACCCCGATTGCCATGAAAATATTGAAAAATTGGCAATATAAATTTGCATTGCTTCACTCAACTTTACAAATGCACAAGAGGCCAGAATAGAGAGGTTAAATGACCGAACCTCTGAAGAATATAATAATAAGTTTTACTTATCGTAGCTGATACTTCCTCTGAAACTCCTCCTAGCCAACATCCGAAACCGTCAAGGCTCCTCTAAACCAGTCAAACCCACACTTTCAGTTCAGTCTAGGCAGTCTCCACCTCCCTCAGACCTGAGCCAAAGCCTTGGAAATTCCAGGAACGAGGGCAAATCTCAGCTTCCAGATGGCGAAGAGAAGCTGTCAGCAGCCATTGAACCTCCACCGGAACAAGGTTGGAGCCTTTGGTGCTGTTGGTAAAGGCCTGGCAGTGTCTTTTGGCAACGGCGACTAGCTGGAGAGGAGGCTGAAATCTGGAAAGTTATAAGATCTTCCATGGTCTATGGAAGTTCAGAAGCCATTCAACAATAGAAATCACTGATTTTCAAATCTCGGCTGAAGTCTCCCCCCTAACTTAGACTCTACACCACCATCTTTCAAGCCCTGTGGACACTGTTAACATCACCAGTAATGCTGCAGTGTGTGGTTGAGACTCAGAAAAAGAATCTGATGTTTCGAAGCTGCATTTTTGGTAGGAACGAGAGCACCAACAAATATCCTCTCTAAATTATGGCCAAAATTTATTAGCACCTATTTTATTGGAAGTTGGGCATCTCCACCATCTCAGGTTCGCGATGTTTGTATGAAATTTTTTCTTCAAAGAGATGCCACCTGAGCCACCACTACTAACTAGGCTTCTCTTTATTCTGCTAAACATTAACTTTATGTTGTTTAGGTCTGGAGGATAAGGTGTCAATGTTAAAGCTTTAATTTTTCTTCATTATTTCTCTAGCTCCTTTTGACTTATGAATGCATTTATTGTCCATGATCAAAATTGTTCTGTTTTCTATAAAACTACGAGTGTTCCTCATAAGAAAGGCTGATAGATGAACAATGAATTTCTTGGAACATTATTCTTTGGAAGCTTATCGCTTTTTATTCAGAAAAAGTACTTTTCTTCCGTTTTGGCTGCCGTCACATTTCAACTCTGATGCTGCTCTCTAGCTACTCTGATAGTTTTCCTCCTTTTTGCATCAAAGTCCTGATATGTAATCTTGAAGAGTTAAATGAAGCCTCATCATAGTAGACCAGGCAAAAATTATTTCTTTTATGAGTATCGATAAATTATTTAAAAGCTTTTCTGTGCTTTTTGGAAGCTTCTTCAAAAATTCTTGGAGGGCGCTGGCATGCCTTATTTCCATCTATAACTAAGGGCCTTTGTCATTATGCTCCTCATTTCACTATAGTTGATCTTGGGTCCTGGATCAAGGATGCTCTGATTTAAATAAGAAATTGTTCGCTTCAATATGAACACTTTTCTGGCTTTCGATTTTACAAAGATCTTTATTTTAGAGCAGAGAATATGAATTCTCTATTCCTTACTAAATCTTTGAGGATCAATAAGCTCTTCTCCTATAATGTCATTATTGATCTTAATCATCTTCTTTAAAATCTTTAGTAAACTTCTGAAGGGAGTTAAAAGTCATTTTGCTACTCTCTAGGCTCCAGCCCTTCTCGATCATCTATTGGATAAAGTCTTCACTCTTTAATAATTTTGAGCTTCCTTGTCAATCTCCCTTTTTGAAGATGCTCCAATTGTTGGACCATTAAATATATATCCCTTATCAAGCACCTCTTTCCAAATCATGATGCTATCTTCCACATTATCTTGAGAAGTTTTAAAACTCTTCACTTGCCTGAAAAATCATTGCATTGAAACTTACATCTTAACTTCTTCAAAGATCTTTGAAATCCTCCAGGTAACATTTGGGCATAAAAATCTTTGAGGATTTTAGGCTTTGAAAATCTCTGCCTTCTTATTCTCACATTGATACCGTATCACTATTGACTGCATCTCCTGATTCTTTCTGCTCCTTCCTATAGAGTCTATAATTGGGGCTTAATTTAGATTTTCTTACTTTGCCCTTACGATTGCTTCTTAAAATATGTTTGCATAAATATTAAAATATTATTTATTTACTAAAAAAATGCTCAATTTTCCGTAATATTATTCAGGAATTATGGAAAAATGATCAAAGTAAAAGAGGAAAAATGTCAACCACAAAGAAGAGTGAAAACAAGGCAAAGCAGAAGAGACATTGAAAAAGCAATAAAGAAGCTAGAGAAGCCAAATCATCAAACAGTCGAAAAGATACCAGAAATAGAAATAAACAACTTGTGAATTATTTTCTGGATGCTCTCAACTCCTCTCCAAGAAAGCCTAGCTCAATTTCCTGCTCTTTTAGAAACTGTAAAAAATGAGAAAATAGTAAAACAAATAGCTGAAGCACCATATTACTCTCCAGAGAAAATCCAGAGCGAGAGAAATATCGAAACCTCAGTGCCTCAAAATCCAGCCAAGAATTGGCTAACTACATTAAGAAATGTCACAAACATGGGGGATCTTCAGGAAATAGAAGAAAGCTCATATTCACAGTTCAAGTACTTTGCTAAGGGGAAGACTAGATGCACATTCTCATAGAGAGTACAAGGAATGATTGAGGATGGCTAAACAGGGGAAGCCACTAGCATATTTATTGTTTGAGAAATATCCTTGAGCGATACAGTAAAGGAAACCTATATTCGCATGTTCAGAAAATTCTACTAAACTAAAAAGAAGTTTAAACCTAATAATGTTAAGTACTACCTCCTAGGGAAAGATATTGGAATAAACATACCAAGACCACTCTCAACTCTTACCACAAGAAATACGTAATCATTGGTGATGTAGTCTATGGCTATTCTAAAGCAGATGTCCCCTCCATAAGATTCTGCTCAAGAAAGAAGGACAGAAAAGAAATCATCCAGCTATCTCAAAGAGGTTTTATCTTGAGGTAATGGCTAAGCTTGAAGAGTTAGGAGAGCATCACAAAACATTGCTCATTGAGATAATATGGTGGCTTGCTTCCAGACCCAACGAGACTTCCACCTTAACTTTTGAAGATTTTGTATAAGAAGGAGGAATCTGTCAAGTTAAGTATTATGCAAACAAGAAAGAATTCAAGAAATATTTCTCAATAGACAAAGTGTTATATGACGAAGTAATGAACCATAAAAAATACCAGAAGCTCAGCAAGAAATACAAAAGTTAGGACAGATCTACTCCTACTGGAAACAAAGTTATCTGCCCCTTTCTTTTCTATTACAATAAGAACTAAATGGCTTATTTGTTTGTAGAGAAGCTTCTTAAACTCATCCCTGGATTCATATTCCGGCCTAAATAGATCCGTATAAGCAGTATCTCTGGCATCTCAGTCAAGGGAGGATTAATTCCAGCTCCGAGGCTAGGTCAGCATACGACTTCTCGAATTATGAAAGAGAATTACATTAGAGCCATAAAGTAAACTACGGCGAATCAGACTATTCAGAGTTTTATTTAAAAAAAATCCTATAATATTTTGCTTGAGTTGGTAAAGATGTTAACTTTTTCCAATGTTGTAAAGGTAACCAAACCTGAGGTAGAAGAGAAGCTTAGCTCTCAAAATATTTTCCATCTTCTCAGCTATCAATGTAAGTACTCTAAAATTTCGTTTAGACAAGTTTTACTTCCATAATATCGGGAGATGGCTACTAGGGTACCTAGAAGAAATAACCAAGAGAAAGAAAAGGATACTAAAGCTTTAAGAAGTGGAACTGACTGAATTCCCCAACTTCGGCTAGTTTGGACCAGCAAAGATTATGAAAAGATCACGGAGTGTTGCCCCAAAATCTTTGAGTGCATGCCTGGGTATTCAAAAACAATATCTTCCAAGAAAGTTCATGTGGAATATTTTGAACAAGTATGACAAAGGAATGCATAGGTTCCATCGAGCACAGCATTAAAATCAGGAATAAAAAGGTCTGAAAGCAATGTTTTGAGCTTAGAGAAGAAGTATACAACATATTGAAGAAGTAGAGACAAGAATCTCTGAAAAAGGAAGGGTAATGCCTACTCTGATCAAATCTGCAGAGTCGGAAGTCAGGAAGATGCTCAAAAGAATGAAAAATTATGAACGCATTAATCTGAAAGAAGCAAAGACAATGAAAAAAAAAGATGAAAGAGTGGAGGCTAAAGCATTTCTGGAGAATGAGATGCTGATAGATGTGGCCCATATGGTAAGAACATATAACGATGTTTTAGAGGAAACTGCAAAAAAAATTTCATACAAACATCGCGAACCTGAGATGGTGGAGATGCCCAACTTCCAATAAAATAGGTGCTAATAAATTTTGGCCATAATTTAGAGAGGATATTTGTTGGTGCTCTCGTTCCTACCAAAAATGCAGCTTCGAAACATCAGATTCTTTTTCTGAGTCTCAACCACACACTGCAGCATTACTGGTGATGTTAACAGTGTCCACAGGGCTTGAAAGATGGTGGTGTAGAGTCTAAGTTAGGGGGGAGACTTCAGCCGAGATTTGAAAATCAGTGATTTCTATTGTTGAATGGCTTCTGAACTTCCATAGACCATGGAAGATCTTATAACTTTCCAGATTTCAGCCTCCTCTCCAGCTAGTCGCCGTTGCCAAAAGACACTGCCAGGCCTTTACCAACAGCACCAAAGGCTCCAACCTTGTTCCGGTGGAGGTTCAATGGCTGCTGACAGCTTCTCTTCGCCATCTGGAAGCTGAGATTTGCCCTCGTTCCTGGAATTTCCAAGGCTTTGGCTCAGGTCTGAGGGAGGTGGAGACTGCCTAGACTGAACTGAAAGTGTGGGTTTGACTGGTTTAGAGGAGCCTTGACGGTTTCGGATGTTGGCTAGGAGGAGTTTCAGAGGAAGTATCAGCTACGATAAGTAAAACTTATTATTATATTCTTCAGAGGTTCGGTCATTTAACCTCTCTATTCTGGCCTCTTGTGCATTTGTAAAGTTGAGTGAAGCAATGCAAATTTATATTGCCAATTTTTCAATATTTTCATGGCAATCGGGGTTTTGGGGTTTTGGGGTTTTGGGGTTTTGGGGTTTTGGGG